CCGCTGCCCCGCCCCCGCCGCATCCGTTTGCCCTGTGGTCTGGTGGGTGCCGGGCCATCCACGGGAGGACACAGACGCTGCAGACGCGGAGCCACAATGGTGAGTGTGCATGGTGCCAAGACACTGGAGGGAGGCTGCGCGGAGCCGGTGGGAACCGTCTGTGGCTGGCGGTCGGTGAGGGAGGACGGAGGGTACGGCCGAGCCAGCTGCAGAGTGTGTGCGTGGCGCGGCGAGGCCGGGGGCTGTGCAGATCTGAGGGGAGCGGGCGCCTGCAGGGAGGCTATGGCGGCCCCGCCTTCCTCGGCCGGCTCTGGGGTCGGCTGGGTTGAGGCCCCGCTGTGCCGCGTGCTGGAGACCCCGGTGTCCTGCCGCGTCCCCGAGTTGCTGGGCGGTGGGCTCTCCTGGCTGCGGGCCGGGCGAAGGCCACCCTGTCCGGAAGATCGCTAGACAGCGGCTTGCTCCCCGGCTGGAGTCGTCAGCGCTCCGGTCCAACAGTCCGGATTGTGTGGCGATGACCAGGATCGCCAGCGGGTGTGCCAGCCTCAGTGTGCGTTTCCCGCAGTGGTAGGAGCTGTGTTCTGTGAGGTGGCCGGCCCTTCCTCCCGAGCGTTCCAAATACACGCGAAGCAGAACCTCATCCAGGAGCCTGGTCTTCCCCTAGCCTCGCTTCTCCGCTGGGTGGTGGAAGATTCCTGTCTCCCGACTGCATTCCCAAACACTAACTTAAAAAAAAAAAAAGAAAAAAAAGAAAAGAAAAATTAACGCCTGTTTCCCACGCCGCATTCAAGTAGGTTTTGCTTGGTTGGTTTTGATTTTATCCTCCACATACTGGGTGACACCTTTTAAAGGATTTCCTCTGTGGATATTTCACATAAGATAAATGGATGCTTTATTTTAACAATCTTAATGCCTCTCCTTTTGTCTTCCTTAGACATAGGAACCCAATCAGAATGCTTTGGGGTAAAACCTCCCCTTTGGAGGTTTTACATAGTGATGGTCTGTCTTCATCTCACTCTCCATCCCTTTCCTTGCCCCGGTTTCAGAGATGCCTAACACCAGCTACCATGTCTCTGGTGTCTAGGAGCATCCAATGTATGTTTTTCTGGGCCCAGTTTGTCTTAGCAGCCTGAGGCGTGAGGGTCGACCATAAGGGGAGACGTTAGATGTCTTGGGCCTAGGAAAATTCTCTTGGTGTACCCTCATCTGAAAGGCCCTTAAGCTGTTTGATAATATTCCGTGCTTAGGATGTGGGGAGTCTTCTGCTTGCTTATTTAAATCTTTGGTGCAAGTTTGCTAGAATTAATCTAGGCTGCCAAGTAATGGTGGGAAGTGTGTGCTGTAAACCCGTTCCAGAAATGAAGGTGTCTGCTTTCTGATCCTTCTGCATTTGCTTCTGGGATGGGATGTGGTAGGGCTCATGGACATGTTTGTACCTTGTTTAAAACCACTAGTTTTTCTTGCTTCATTGTTCTTTTATTATTGCTTCTTTATCATTTATTTATCTTCTGGGTGGGAGAGGTGCATGCCTGTGAGGTCAGAGGACAACTTGCAGGGATTGATTCTGTCCTTCCATAATGTGAATTCAAGGGATCAAATTTAAGTTGTCAGTGTGGCAGCAAGTGCCTTTGCCCGCTGAGGGAGTTGACTACTGAGAGCAGTCATTGAAAAGGAAGTTCTTTAAATAAAGGAATAGTAAAAGGCATTTTTTTTTTACACACAGAAACCTGTTTTGTGAGTTTACCTTACTCAGCATGAATCCTGTCAGCAAGGAAAAACCTGCCTGTAGCCTGCCTTTCTCAGCAGGGGACCTGATAGCCCTAAGACAAGCCAGGCCTGATTTTTACACATGAAACCATTTCAGGCTGGTAGTTAATCCTGGCCTCAGCCTGAAAACCTTTTTTATGTATGAGACTCAGATAATTTAAACCTTTTAAAGTTTATTTTTTTTAACTTGTACCACCTGCAAGTAACACTTATAACTTTTGTACCCCAAGTAATTGTAAAGCCAAGTTGGTGAGGTTAAACCGACTTTCTAGCTATGAATGGACTGATCTGGCACCTGTAGCCTAGTGGAAGGGGCTGGCTAAGGTCAGCTAAACTGTCTGGTAAAGCTAGGGTCCACCACCAACATCATCACAGATATCTGACAAGGATAAATCTGCGTAGGAAGTAAAGACCAAATGGCCTCTGTATCAGTTAAGAATGACGAAGACTTACCGCTATCTGGATGGGCTGCCTGGACTCCTTGGTGGTAATCTTGATGGCTTTGTTGGGGGCAGAGCTCCCATGGCAGCATCAGTCTTTGGCCACCAGGCCCAGAAAGATCAAAGAAACTTTGCTAAAGAGGAGGTACTTGGGGAACTGACCTACTTTGGCAAGGCCAGGAGAGGCAGTAGATTTTCCAGGGTCCTACTTCCCCATAGTTTGGGCAGGGCTGTCATGGCTGGGGAGCTGAAGGAAAATTCTTTGCCCAGTGACTGTGGCAGCCATACTGGAACCATATTCCAGGTGAAGTTCACTGCCCCGCCTTCTCAAAGAAGACATTAGGGCTGTGGCCAGGAGCTGGCATTTCTGGCTGTTAGAGGAAGCTTTTTTCAGTAAATACCTCAAATGCCATTTTTTCAGCAGATCTGTCTGAGGGATTTGAGGGCTATCATTGGATTCTCTAAGCATACCTGATTTTACACAAACTTAATTGTTTTAGGCTTAACCTTGACAACATGTTCAGGAGGCTAAAGTGTGTCCCTGTAAATGAATCACATTTGTACTTCTTATAACTGCAAGTTATGCCCTGAGCTCATTAAAGACCAATCATTTATGAGGTAACTGACCATATATAACCTGCATGTCCTAATTATTTTTATAAGATTAGGATTTTACAGTTTTATTCCTTTTAAATTTCAACCTGAAAAATTGGAATTGGAGATTTAATTGAAGATCCTTTAGCATCAAAATAAAACTTTAAACTATAAATATAAGTCACAGAGAAACTGGGAACCTTGCTTTCCTGGTCTTTTATTAGTGTACCTTTATAGAATATCACGATTTAAGCTAAAGCTTTAAAATATTAGCAAAGACAAAGAGGATAAACATACATCATCAGGTTAGTTTTTGATAGCCTGAATGGAACTTAGGGATTCATAAACCTAATTCATCAAACATGTTACTTATCTAGAAAGTTTTTAGAAGCCTGGTGTTGAACACAGTTTGCAAGGACATAAGTAGTTAGACATTCATCCCTAAGTCATTTTCTGTTAACCTGAGTAGACCTTGTAACCTTAGGAATTCATAAACGTTAATCATCAAACATATTTTAAAGTCTTATTCCAGAAGCCTTTTCATGGTTTTGCTCTTATTTGTTATTTTCTTATTCTCAGGACAAAAATCACCATGCAAAAATCTGTCCTAATCCAAAATATCTTGGAGGTCTGGTGTTGCCTCCTTAATCTAAAATAGGAGATACAATGATAATCGGAGGGCTCAGTAAGACTAAGAATTTTTGTGGATGCTGCCTTACTTGATTTATACTATATGGTCACCTCAACCAATGGTGATGAAGTCTCATTGGCTGGCAGTCATTTGGTGGCTATTTATTCCAAAGTGAACCATCAGGCACACACTTTTTTTTTCCTTTTTTATAAACATCTATTTTCCTAAACAAGAGTTGAATCCAAGATGTATATGTATGTATGTATATATGTATATATAGATTTTTTTCCTATCAACAGTTTCTGTTACAAGTTTTCAGCTTACTTTTTATTTACTTTATTCTTTTAAAAACTACACCCAGAAAACTTACAAATCCAGAGATATAGAAAGTTTGCACTTCAGCAAAAGTTTTAGAGATATAAGAGAAGGGAGTATTCAGAAAGTTAAATAAAACCAAGAAAAGGAGTGTGAGATGAGCAGCAGTAATCCTTATTGGGAAAAGTTCACTCTTTGGCTGTTTTAAAGCACATGGTGGCTTTTCCTGGGCTATTCTGTTTGCTTTCCTTCTCCCTGTCACAGTCAGGTGGCTGGCCTGACCCAGGACACAGAGACTTTGAGGAAGCTTTTAAATAAGCATGCTTGGGTCTGGAGAGAGGCCATAACTCAACTCCAGAGCCACCTTTTTTTTTAAGAAGAATAGTATAAAAGACATTTTTAATACTTATACCCCAGAGGCATTTGCGTCTTTCTAAGACTGATCAGGGGGAGGGAGTAGGCAGCTTAGACAGGGAAATCTTAGAGGATGAGGGTTTTGAGAGGAGTAGAGAAAGCTTAGAGAAAAGGGGATTTTTAGATCATTTGCTTCTGTGGTGGCAGTTGTCACAGTCTGAAAATTTGGCCATTTTCTGGCCACTGAGGCTGATTATCTAGTCTGTACTGAGGCCAAACTATTTGCAGTAAGACAGCAAGGCTTTAATGGAATCCCTGAGTCTAAGGAGGCAAGAGACTAGAGGTGGCAGGTGAGGAGTCTAATGCTGAGTGGGAAGATCCTTGCTGAGAGATGAGAGATTGAGCCAGTAAGAAAGGACACATCTTTCAGAAGCAGATTGAAGAGGAGGTGGGAGAGGCTTAGGGAAAAGTGTTGCAAATAGCAACTCCACCAGAGGGAGGTTCCATTATCTCAGGAAGGCCTAGAGAAGCTAGCTGCCTGGTGTACCTGCTAGATTTCTGTAGAGTAGGCTCCAGAAGCTGGGCAAATCAGAAGGATCCAGTGAGTGGGACAGAGAGACAGCAAGCAATTCCTGGTGGAGGGGGAAGAGAGGTTAGCCATGGTTCAAGAGTGAGCTCCAGGAGGGAGCTGAGAGAAAACAGCAGGAGGGGAGGCAGCCAGGAGCAGAGTGAGGGGATGGCAGAGATTTAGGGGAGTAAGAGTCCAGGTGACAAGAATTTCAATTTGGGGCATCCCCAAGTGGACCTAGAGACTTGTCAGAGATGCCCAGGATCAGTGGAAGGGTGTCCTTCCTCCACATGATGGTATACACCCAAAAGGGTGTAGGGAAGCTTCCTGACAAACCGGTGCACTTATGCAGTAGACTCTTGGTAAACAAAACCACACGAGATCTGCCTTTCTAGTGAACAGAAACCTCTAGGATTGTTACCCTATAACAATCCTTATGTTTACCTGGCCAAAGTCCTGCTTAGGAGAGTGTCACCAGCACTGCCATTTTGGAGGAAGGGAAGCTTTGGACCTGACAGTATTTACACATTTTACTCTATCTTTACAACTTTGTAAACTGTGCATTTAAGTTTAGAAATAAGGATATTCCAAGACCCAAATTTGCTGCAGAACATTAATTGCTGATTTTTTAAAAAAGGCAGTGGATGTGATCACAGATATTTAGATAAATTTACACCATTGAGAATCTTTCCTCAATTGTAATGGTCACCATTTCATGAGTAAATATTACACAAAAGGTGGAGTAAAGACACCAAATAAATGCTGGAGAGATATCTTCAACAACTATATCAATATTTTATTAACAAAAAAAATGAATCATGAGAATGTAACTTATAGAACTACTGGCTTCAGAATGCAGTTTTGTTTGTTTGTTTTGTTTTTTGTTTGTTTGTTTGTTTTTTCCAAGACAGGGTTTCTCTGTGGCTTGGGAGGCTGTCCTGGAACTTTTCTTGTAGACCAGACTGGTCTTGAACTCACAGAGATCTGCTTGCCTCTGCCTCCTGAGTGCTGGGACTACAAGCGTGCGCCACTACCGCCCAGCTAGAATGCAGTTTTTAAACAGATTAAAGACAGTTTTGTAGTAAAGAGCAGAAACAATTGCTGGGCCAGCAGGATTAAATTCTGCAATAGGACTCCAGGGATCTGTGTGGGAAGGTAAGCATGAGCTATTCAAATGGGAAAGTGTCTCAGAGGAAATTGTCACATTGTCCATTCCAAAATGCTTGAGAGAAGTGTTTATTCTTTTTTTGTTTGTTTGTTTTGTTTTTTGTTGCTTTTATTTATTTATTTATTTTTGTTTTTGTTTTCGAGACAGGGTTTCTCTGTGTAGCTGTGTGGCCTATCCTGGTACTCGTTCTGGATACCAGGCTGGCCTCGAACTCACAGAGATCAGACTGCCTCTGCCTCCCGAGTGCTGGGATTAAAGAAGTGTTTATTCTTAAGTACTGTAGCAAGTAGAAGTGGAAGAAGCAATGCCTAACCATTGTATTGTTTTTCTAATTCAGCTTTTTATTAAAAGTTTGCATTACATATAATTACATGTGTGTATGTATGTGGAGCATGTATGTACCATGACACATATATGATGGTCAGAGGAGTCAGTCTTCTCTCCTGTGTGTCCTTCGTATTGAACTCAGATTGGCAGGATTGGTAGCAGACATCTTTACCCGCTTGAGCCATCTTGTTGGTCATCAATATTTTTGAAATGGGAGGCAAAAATCAATTCTGATTAATTTACTTATAGAATATGGTTAAAATATTACAACATAGTATCATATTTTGTAAAGGCAGTTTTGTTTAATTTTTACTTCTGTTTTCAAGGGTGTATAGATGTATACTTGGCATGTTATATTAAAAACACTTTTTTTTTCTTGGATTTTCAAGACAGACTTTCTTTGTGTAGCCTTGACTGTTCTGGAACTCACTGAGATTCAAACCTGCCTCTGCCTCTGGAGTGTTGGGTTTAAAGGTATGCACCACCACTGCCCAACCTAAAATATATTTCTTATCATGGGCTAATATAAAAGCAACTTTCTGGAAAACACATATTGTTATTCATTTTACCTTTAAAATATCTTCAAGTTACTCCTTGTTTACATTTTAATTATAATATACACCTGCTTGTTACACTGGTTTAAGCTGGTCTTGGTGACCTTTATTTCTTCCTGTGTGAGTCTGATATTCTCTTGTATGTCCATTGCCACGTGTGTACTGCTCCATGATCCCAGGCCTGGAATAAAGGTCTTAGACAAATGCACCTGATATATTACTGAGTTGGTGTTGGGTGGAGTTACATGTAAACATTTATGGATGTTTGACAAAATATCATAAATGAGGAAAACATTTCTGGTCTTAGTAGATTAGTTGGGGAGGTATGCATTAGTGTTTGAAAAGTTGAGTGATATTTAGTGTATTTTAAATGATCAGAAAGGATAGTTACCATGCTGCTATTACAATAAAAAGTAAATTCCTTAAAACTCTTTCAGTTCAAATCCATTAATGAATTCTCTTGGTATCTACCTTATTGCTGGGTTTTTGTTTGTTTGTTTTTTTCTATTTGGGACCACAAATATTGACATTTCTACTGAGTTTGCTGCACTGTCAGAAACCTACTCCAGTTTAGAACTACTGAATTAGAACCTCTGATTTTAGGGCTAGGGATGAAGCTTAGTTATAGATCAGTTTCCTAGCTTGTGTAAAGCCCCAGGTCTGAGCCTCCCTACTCCCCCCCTCCAAAAAAAAAAAAAACAAAACAAAAAACAGGTAGCAATGTTTCAAAAAATCATAAGTACCTTTCTTAGCATATCTTTTTCACTTGAAAAGTAGGCATACAATATCTTACATTAAATAAAACTTTAACATATAAATGCTTGTGTTGATGCCTTTATATTTAGTTTTTCATAAAAGTACAGTATCTACCCTGTGGGTTTTATGTCATCTTTACTCGAGAGTTAGATATACATTAGAAATACCACTATGTTAAGATGTCTTAGCAAATAGTTAAAATCATCCTCCTGTATGAAAAGTAGTTCTCCCTAACTCATCTCATCCCAGGTCCAGTTAAGAACTGAATCAATGGCCACATGATCATTGTGCTACTTATTTTTATTTCAGGAACCGCTGACCTTCAAGGATGTGGCCATTGATTTTTCTGGAGAGGAATGGGAATGCCTGAACTCTGAACAGCAGAATTTGTATAAGGATGTGATGCTAGAAAACTACAGGAACCTGGTCTTCTTGGGTGAGGATAACTTCCCTACAGAATTATTAACTCAGCGTTAACATTCAGTTTCCTTTCATTGCTACATATATCTTGGGAACTCTGTTTTCAGGAGAGAAATGGGGGAAGTACTATTGAAATAGATAATAAATATTCCTGTTTTTTTTTTACCTTTATCCTCACCTCTCTCTTCAGGTAATATATATTCCAAATTAAAATTAGTGATAATTATAGCAGCCAAGCAGCATAAAGTATTATAATTTACATCTTAAAGTACAATTATTCCCTCTTATCTGTGATTTGGTAGTAGACAAAAGTGGAGCTCAGAATCTGTAAATTGCAAATATATTACTATATATCTGTAGGGAAGTAATTTTGGAAAAATAATGTTCTAGAATATTGTTATTTATCTATTGTTTTTCTTCTTTTATACTAAACATAATTCTAGGCCAGATTATGTTAGTAGTGTTAAGGAAAATCAAGTTAAGTGTCATGTTCTGTTTTTCAATAACCAGGTCTTGCTGTGTCTAAGCCATACCTGGTTACCTGTCTGGAGCAAAGGAAAGAGCCCTGGAATGTAAAGAGGCAAAAGACAATGGTCTTGTTCCCAGGTCAGTAGGAATGACTGAAGCAGAGCACAAAGATGAGATCGGGACTTGAGGAAGCCAGGCCTAAAAGATGTATTATAAAGCTCTGTTCAGTGGCATTGGTTTTTCAAAAGTACAGTTCTTTTTGTCCTCTCATTGTCATTGAAAGGCACTTCCTACTGTGCTTACCATCCTTTTAAGTTCTCTAAGCCTAGTCCTTCTGCAGGGATCTCCTGTACATTAACAGTGGTAGCAGAAACCTTCCCCTTCACCGGTGGGGAGCTGTGTAATGTGACAGTTCTTTCATAATGTTTGGGGGGTCTCAGAAAATCTGGAGACATTTCTCAGGACCTACTGGTCAGTATACTGTATTATGTGCTAAAGAAGTTTCCTATTGACATCATTTATATATTATTTTGTTTTATTTTGTTTCTGTCTTGGAGCTTTTTGTAAACATTTTAATGGGTTTTCTGTGAATTTTCTACCAAACACTGACTGCTAATGATTGACAGGTTTCCCTGTGTAGCTTTGGAGCCTGTCCTGGAACTAGCTCATGTAGACCAGGCTGATCTTGAACTCACAGAGATACGCCTGCCTCTGTCTCCTGAGTGCTGGGATTAAAGGTGTGTGGCACCACTGCCCAGCTAGGAGTGCTTATTTTCTTCCAGAGTCATTGTGTTCAGTATTGAAGGACATAGATTTTCCATTCTCCTGTTTGATGTTTGCTAAATTCAGCATGATTTTTGATGGTAGATTTGTAAGTTGTGTTCATCAGTCTAGTGAGTGAAATAATTTTTTGTTTTGTCTTGATTTTTTTCAGCTATGTTTCCTCATTATGACCAAGACTTTTCACCAGAGCAGAATATAAAATATTCATTCCAGGAACTGATCAATGGAAGCCATAGGAATTATGGCCTTGACAATGTGTACTTTGGAGAAGAACGGGAAAGTATAGAGGGGTGTGAAGTTCAGAAGACCTATGATAATGGACATAACCATAACCAGTTTGTGATAGCTTGTAATAGAAGCTTTACCCCCAGTAGAGAGCAAGACCATGAAATGGCTCAAGAAAACTGTCACACAATGTCAGTTACTTGTGAACAGCCATGTACTTCTGTCAGTAAACATCAGAATCATCTTTTTAAATGTACCTCTTCTTTCAAAGATAATCTGGGAAATTTACAAAGGGACCTAATCCATTCCTCAGTTAATGACTTCAACAACTTCAAATGTAGCTTTGGGCTAAGCTTTCATTCAAACATTTTTGTAGATGGGGAACTTAAAAATGAAGAAAAAATTTCTAAATGTGATCAATTTGAGAACTCCATTGTAAAAAATTCATTAGTATATGATCAACAAATAGGTCTTTCATGTGCCAAAACACAGAATTTCCATAAATATGGCAGGTTCTTTACACATCCAGTATTACCTAATCAAAATTCAAATACAGATATTTTAGAAATCCAGTATATATGTAAAGAAAATAGGAAGGCCTTTACTGAGGAGTCTACCTTAAGTAATCATGAGGGCACTTATATTGGAGAGACAGTATATCAATGTAATGAAAATGATAGTGACTTAACCCATGAGTCAAATCCTGCTAATCATCAGTCTGCTCATTTTCCAAAGAACTTTTATAAGTGTTACAAATGTGACACAGTCTTTCATCAATACTCAGAACTTATCATCCACCAGTATATCCATATTCAAGATCAAATTTCCAAGGGTATGGATTGTAACCCAGCTTTCAATAAAAGTTCCAGCCTTACTAGAAGTCATACTGGAGAAAAACCCTACAAATGTAAGGAATGCGGCAAAGCCTTTACCTATTGTTCAAGCCTTAGACAACATCATAGAATTCATTCTGGAGTCAAGCATCACAAATGTAAAGAATGTGGCAAAGCCTTTTACCATAAATCACTCCTTACTCAACACCAGAGCATTCATGCTGGGAAGAAGCCTTACTGCTGTAAATTTTGTGGTAAAGCTTTCAATCAAAGGTCAACTGTTACTCAGCACCAGAGGATTCATACTGGAGAGAGGCCCTACCACTGTAAAGACTGTGGCAAAGCTTTTCATCAAAGATCAAGCCTTAGCCTACACCAGAGAGTTCATACCGGAGAGAAGCCCTACAAATGCAAAGAATGTGGCAAAGCCTTCAACCGTAATTCACTCCTTACTCAACACCAGAGAATTCATACTGGTGAAAAGCCCTACCATTGTAAAGATTGTGGCAAAGCTTTTAATAAAAAATCAAGTCTTACTCAACACCAGAGAATTCATACTGGAGAGAAACCCTATTCTTGCAAAGATTGTGGCAAAGCTTTTAATCAAAGATCAAGCCTCAGCCTACACCAGAGAGGTCACACCGGAGAGAAACCCAATAAATGTAATGAATGTGGCAAAGCCTTTAATCGTGTTTTTTTTCTTACTCAACACCAGAAAATTCATACTGGAGAGAAGGCTTACCACTGTAAAGATTGTGGCAAAGCTTTTAAACAGAGATCAAGCCTTACTCAACACCAGAGAGTTCATACTGGAGATAAGCCCTATCTTTGTAAGCACTGTGGCAAAGCTTTTACTCAAAGGTCTAGCTTTACTCGCCACCAGAGAATCCATACTGGAGAGAAGCCCTACAAATGTCAAGATTGTGACAAAGCTTTCAGCCGTAACTTACTTCTCATTCAACACCAGAGAATTCACACAGGAGAGAAACCTTACCATTGTCAAGATTGTGGCAGAGCATTTAATCAGAGATCAAGCCTTACTCAACACCAGAGAGTTCATACTGGGGACAAACCCTTTTGTTGTAAAGACTGTGGCAAAGCTTTTACTCAGAGATCAAGCTTTAACCGACACCAGAGAATCCACACTGGAGAGAAGTTGTACAAATGTAAAGAATGTGACAGCACCTTTAACTGCAGTTCCCACCTTGCTGAACACCAGTGCACTTCATTAGGCAGCTGCTTCCAAGACACAAAGTTTCTCCAATTTATGTGAGTTATTGTTCTGTCAAAGCCAGTTAGCAAACACAGATGGATTTATTTTTAAAACATGTAATGCGCTTGATTATATAAAAGATATTTCTTTCTGTTGTTGCAATACCTTACTGGATTCCCAGAATCACATTCTGGTTTAATTGAGTAATATTTTTCTTTCTTGTCATTTTGTCAACTGGTTTTGTGTTAATAATTACATTCTCAAGTGTATTTCTCAAACACTGTCCAGAATGTATACATAAAACATATGTTACACACAGAAACCCTGTCTCAAAAAAAAAAAAACCAACCATACATTGTCCAATGTATTCATAAAACTGTACATCAGTCTTCACACTAGAGTAGTTTTTGGCAGGTACCATTCAGAGTCTCTCTATGACTTACAGTCCCATCTCTAAGTTGTGTAGCATAGAGCTTAGCTGTCTCCTCTAGTTTGTTTACCATCTCTTCTACAGCACAGTTAAGATGTCATTTTCCATGAAGATAATTACAATAAGCAACTTTAACCCCGCATGTATACTATTTTCTTCAGCCATGAAACTGAGAAACCATAGAGCCCAGACAGCGAAAAGAAAAAACTTCAAGTATATATTGAATTGGTCTAAGGATCTTGACTTTTGAGTCTACTACTAAAACGACTGCAAATATATAGCTGGTGCATGCTGAATCCACACTTTTATTATAAAATTAAATTACATTGGGGGAGGGCTGTTGTGTTCCACAGCATGTATGTGAGAGTCAGTAGGTACCTGATAGTTTTTTTGTTTTGTTTTTGGAAATGGAACTCAGCTTGGCTCATCAGGCTTCTACAAGTGTCTTTATCTGAGTCATCTCTTCAGTGACTGGACTTTAGGGTCTAGGACTTTTCTAGTGTTACTAGAATAGCCTCTGTGGCATAGAACCCCACTGTTTTCCACCTGTTGTAATTAGAAAGTTAGGCAGACCACCTACAATTTCAGCCCAGTGCATATAATCTCCCTGTGATTTGAAGACATGACCACTGGCCTGGATCATTCTCTGTACATAAGTCCAGGATCACTGAAAACTGTCTCACTGCACTTAGGATCTGCCAGAGTTTTAGAGGTTCAGATTGCACATTTGGTTTCGGATAACAATATGTCAGAAAGAGGAATGAATCAGAATTCCTTCACAGAAGTTTTTGGTTCTGTAGAAATCATTTCAGTTTTCTGGTACTCAAACGGGGAAACCTGTGACCACCTACAGGCAAAATATACTCAATAAATAAATTTCTTCACATAGCTCTTCTTTGCAAGACAATAACAACAGCACACATGCACACACACAAAGCTGTCATGGCTGGGAACTTAGAAAACTTCAGTGTAAAGCAAGTGGATAAATAATTGAACTTCCTATGTGATGATAAGTACAAAGAAGGAAAGGGGTGATTGACAAATTTGAATTTGTTTGGAAAAGATTAATTTATTGTATTATACATCTGATGCATTTCCACAAGGGTATTTTCTAGAAGAGTTGTTATTTTTATTTGTGTTGCTTTTACCTTGTTGAAAGATGTAGACTCTAATAGAATTATCTTAGAGGAATTTAAAGTTACATTAACTTGGCTGTTGTGTGATATTCCAAGGGAAAATAATTGTAGTTTGCTTTCTGTTGCTGTGCTAGATAACCATAACCAAAAGCAGCTTGGGAGGAAATGGTTCATTTTTTAGCTTCCTTTTCCAGGTAGCAGTCTGTCAAAGGGATGTCAGGATAGGAGCTAAGCAGGAGCAGGGATGGAACTGTGGAAGAGAGATGCTCACTGGCTTGCTCCCCTTGGTCCCCGCTCAACCAGCTTTCCTAAACATGCCAGGACTACTTGCCCTTGGGTGGTACTGTCCACAGTAAACTAGGTCCTCCCACATCAGTCAACAATCAAAATCAATTGAGACTTACCCTTTCTGTTTGAATCTTGGTGTGTCAAGTTGACAATAAAACCAACCCAAGGATAGTAAAATGAAAGGACAGAAGAGTAGCCACTGTAGCAATACAGTAACCAGAAGCCTGCATCCTGTGCTCAGAAGGTATTCTGAGGCCCTGCTCAAGTTGAGGCCAACCAGCAGTCTCCCCTCAGAAGAAGAAACAATGGGTTAGCACATTTGGTGGAGGCCCTGGCCTCAAACTTTTCCCAGGTCTAAAAGAAGTCTGTTTGATGTGATGGCACCTTGATTTCTCATTAAGCCTGTGTCCAGAAATGTTCTCTCAGATACTTTGCTTTTTGATTCCTGAAAGTCTAGTAGCTGCTCCAAGTAAAGTACAAACTCAGTAAAATTTCCTCTGAACTTCTTTAGGAATTTTCCTTTGTCCCAATTATGGTGTTTAGTTCTGAATTTTCTGCATTAAAAATAAGAGTGGTATGGAAACAAAAGCAACAGTTAGTTCTGTATGTTTCATCCTGTATGATGAAACAGTACCGAAATTCTAGGTCTTACGTTAAGTAATGCAAATAATATGAAGTCTCCAGCTCAGGATCTCACAATGTGCTGTGAGCACTTAACACCTACTTAAATAGACATTTTTAAGTGACTGTCTACAAATGGTCACTTATGGGCAGGTGACTACAGAAAATTTTAAAGAAGCAAAGAATGATGTAAGATTTGTAATATTCACTGAGAACTAAGAACATGTGTTCGGAGAACAGATAATTTGCATGAGCTTTGTGCTGCGCTTTTTGTCTAGTGTAGTGCTACAGATGGCGGATGTAAACACCAACAAGGAACTTCCTTGTGATGCCAGTTCACGAGTGCTCCCCTCTAGTTCCTCCCAATTCACAGAATCACAGTTCCTTAAATTGGGGTCTTATGATACCACATGACTTTTCTTCCTTCACCTGCAAAGTCACTAGCATGAGTCCACAAGGTAGTCTGTGTGTTTGTTTTTGTGCCATGCTGTTCTTTTTAATTTTCTTTGAGAATTTCATAAATGTGTTTTGATCATGTTTTTACTCCCACGTCTTCCCCAATCCCACTCCATTGCCATTAGGAGTGTTTAGTATAGTTTGATAGGCTATTGTGCAGTTTGATATGCTATAGTATAGCTTGATATGCTATAGTATAGCTTGATATGCTATAGTATAGTTTGATATGATATATGCCATTGTATAGCTTGATATGCTATAGTATAGTTTGATAATGTTATTTCCAGCATTACCTTTCCTACTAAAGATTATGTTTGGGAGCATTGTTTTTTGTTTTCATATAAGTTTTAGGATTTAAAAATATTTCTATAAAGAATATAAGAATTTTGATGAAAATTGCATGGAACCTGCATATCACGTTTGCTGCTATGAATTCAGCACAACAGTGAGCATGGGAGGTCTTCCTGTCTTTACTGACTTGTGCACTTTTGTTGTAGAGGTATTTAACATGTTTGGTTAAGTTTATAAAGCCTAGGTGTTTGTGTCCATATACGTGTGAGCATGTGGAGGCCAGATGTAAACCTTAGGTGTTAGTCCTCCGGTGCTGTCCACCTTGTCCCCCTGGTGTGGGATTCAGCAGGTGGGACTAGGTTGGTTGTCAGCAACCCCAGAGAAGTGCTGTCTACTGAGATTCAGGCACACACTACACGTATGTACTTTCTTACATGGCTTCTGGGGGCTTGAATCCAGATCTTGCTTTCACACCCAGCATTTGGCTAACTGCCAGCTCCCCCCGACACCTAGGCACATTCCTGAAGATACCATGGGTGGTATTTTCCTAACTCCTAGTTCATGAAGTTTGGTGGTGTGTGGAGAAAGTGATTTTTGTGTGTTGGATTTGCATCTTGCTTCTTTGCAGAAATTACCAGATGTAAGAAGTGTCTGGGTCTTTTAGGTGTTTTAAGGATAGTATATTTTCTATCAACCAGTTATTTAATTTCCTTTGGTTGTACCCCTTTCATTTCCCTTACTGCTGTGGCCAGGATTTCAGGAATTATTTTTATAAAAGTGGTTAGAATGGACATGTATCTCCTTCCTGGTTTTAAAGGAGGTGCCTTCAGTTTCTCCCTATTCAATGTAATATTGGCAATAGTTTTCTTGTGTTGAAATATGATCCTTCTCTTTAGGACTAGTTTCTTCAAGACTTCTGTCATTCAGAAGTGCTGAATTGTGTCAGAGGTAACTTCCAATATCGATTGAAATGACCATGTGAGCTTTGTCCTCATTTCTCTATTGATTTGTGTATACTGAACCATTTTTCATTTTAATGTGAAACCAAGTTGATGGCATATCATCTTTTTGCTGTGTTCTTGTATTGAGTTTGCAAGCATTTTTGGGGGATTTTTGCATGTAGCTTTGTCATGAAGGAAATTGGTTTGCAGTTCTCTTTTTCCTTCCTCCTTGTCCAGTTTTTTCTTAGCAGGGGAATGAGTTTGAAAGTACTCTCATTTTTATTTTTATAGAATATTTTGAGGGACATTGGTATTCGTGTTCTTCAAATTTTTGGTGGAATGCAGCAGTGAAGCCTTGGTTTTCTTTGTTGGGCAGCTACTACTACTTCCATCATTTTATCAATGATAGATTTCTTTAGTTTCTTTTACCCACATAATGACTGTGTGTCTAGAAGAACATGCTATATTTTTCAATCTACTGAAATATATTTGTTAATTGTCTGTGTATTTCATAGTATCTTGAAGTATCATAGAAACTTGGATTTCAGTAGTATCAGTTTTATTTGATATTCTAATTTTATTCATTTCCAGTTTTCTCTCTTACTTGTGTCACTAATGCTGTTTTCCCATTTTATCTTTTCAAGCAGGTAGCCTTCCATTTTGATCCTTCATGATTTTCTTTTTTCCCATTTCATTCATTTGAGATCAGAACTTAGTATTTCTTTCTGTAGATGTTAGGTTTGGCTTGTTCTGTTTTCTGCAACCTAGAGCTAGCATCATTGGACTATTTACTTGATGTCTCTTCAATGTCAATACTCATGATTATAAGTTTCTTTCTTAGAACTTATTCTACCAAGTTTTAATCCTCCCATTTCTTCAGTGAAACACTGATCATTCAGTAGCACATTGTTTAAGTTTCATATATTAGGTTTATTTTCTCTTTCTGTTGATTTCTGGTTTATACCACTATGATCTGATGGAGTATAAGAAGTTATTCAGTATTTTTTATTTGTTAAGATTTGCTTTAGGGTCTGTTGTAAACTATTTTGGAGAACATTTTATGGGCTGCTGAATTCAATATGTATTCTGCATCTATTGGAATATTCTTTGTGTGAGTGTGTCTAGGTCTAGGCTCTTTGACCTTTGGTACATTTTAAAGCTTTTATTAATATTTTGTCTAGGTGCTTT